GCCGCCGCCCCAGAGCCCGCCGCCCTCGGGGGGGGACATGCTGAGCATGATCCGGCGCGGCGTCAAGCTGCGGAGAACGCTGACCAACGACCGCTCCGCGCCCCTCATCCCCCCCGCCAGCCGCGTCAAGTGAGCGGGGCGCCCCGCCCGGCGGATTCCGGTTTTAGTTGCCCTTTTAGTTTTCCTTTCTGTTTTTTTTTTCCCGTTTTGGTTCCGTCTTAGTATTGTTTGAAATTTGCCGAAGTGTCAAGGAGAGGCGCGGTGCCCTTGAACCGGGGACCTCCGACCGTAAGATTATATGTTTATATTATTATTATTATTATTATTATTATTATTATTATTATTATTGCAAAAAAGAAAAAAAATGCCTTTGCTTCATAGCACATTGTCTTAATATTACCAATGAATTTTCGTTCTCAGAACAAAACAGAGAGAGACATTTGTATATAGTAGTTTAGTACTCCAGAAACGTGCTTTATTGTATTTTGTTTGCTAGTGCCTGTTTTATTAAATTGAATAGCACTGGCGTCTTGTTTAAAAGAGTTGATTGTCTATTTTTGTAAAACAGATGCAGCATTTTTATGCTTACCTCCCCAGACATACAGGTATGTGTAACACGAAGCAAAAAACACCTGTGCTGTCGGGCCAAGGGGCCAAGCCGGTGCTCTCGCAGGAGGGGGCTGTGGATTGAAACCTGCAGGAGAGGCTCCTGTGCCACCGCGGACAGATCCGTCTCAGGTTTTGCATGCTGCCGGCTCTTCTTCAAGCCAGCACACTGGCGCCTCCAGCTGTGTCTCTCGAAGCTGACACGGTGTAAATGTCCCCTATTTGCACGATGTCCTGCAGCTGGTAAAACCTGGAGTAGATGGTGGCTGTGGATTGGGAGCTGGTGCGGTTCTCTCCCCCTGCAGGCGGCTGTGCAGTCCGCTGGGATGAGCCGAGCGAGAGGGGGCTCCTCGCGCAGGGCCGGTCAGAATAGTCTCGGAACCGGGCTCTCTGGGTTTTTCGCCTGCACCACGCAGATCCTGAGCACCTTCTAGCCTCCAGACTTCGCGTCGTGTGACCCCTCTGCCCACCTCTGTGTGGGTTCCTCCACCGCGTGCCTCTGCCGGCCTGGTTCCGGGCGGCCCAGGATCACCTCTTCAGACCAGGGCTGGCTGCTCGGACGCTCTCCTGTGAGAACGAGCCCTTTCTCGCGCTGTTGTGCCCTGGGCCCGCCGTGGTCACGGTTCTCCGCCTGTGTGAGCTGCTGCCTGCTCTTTGTCACCTCGGGGTCCTGGTCTGCTGCGCCTTCAGAAGCCCGTGCGCAGAGCCGGGAGTCTGACCCGGCCCGCTGAAGCCCGATGTCTGGAGTAGAGGGGGAGGCAGAGTTTGTGTTTTTATTGTTTGAAGTCGGTTGTGCCCCGCGGGCTGTGCAGGCGCGGGTTGGCAGCAGGTGGGCTGCTCTCGCCTTCCACGTCACACTCCGTTCCCAGCCTGCAGGGGGCAGTGTGTGGACCAGCCCTGCGGTTCTGCTCGGCAGTGGCTCCTGGGAAGTTAAGAATCAGCCCCCCTGCTTCCCTTGACAGAAGGTTTTTCCATTTTGACAAGAACAAGCCGACAGCCGGGGCACAGCCGCCTCTGGTAAAACCGTGACCTGTGACCTCTGACATCACTAAGCCCCTCACTGAGGGTTTTCAGTTTCGAGAGCGGAAGACTTACTATTTTATGGTTGGGTTGTTTATCAATTCTATTTTAAAAATCTAACAAAAATAATTTAATTTGAAGCTGTTTTCTACCAAAGAGAGAGAGTGGCAGGGGAAGTGAGCAGTGTTTTAAGTGCCGGTTGGCGTGAGAGTGGCGCAGGTGTGCTGGGCACTGACTCGGGCGGCTGGGCGGTGTGGGTGTGTTGGCACGCGCCGGGCGTGTGGCCTGGCTGACCCCTCTTCGTTTCTCTGGCCCGGCGCGCTCCCCCGCCCCCTCTCGGTCCAGAAGAAAGGCTGGTTTTGGTTGCATGTCGGGTTGCTGAGTTGGGAGTACCCTGTCGGTTTGGTTTGGATCTGGACCGGTCCAGATGAGGGGCAGCTGGTCCAGCTGGTCTGGACTGCGTCTCGGCTGTGCGCTGGAGTCGAGTGCCCACCCCCGCTCCCCTCCTCCTGCGTCTCGTGCGTGCCCTCCGCTCGCCCCTGTTCCCTGCTCTCCGTCGGGCGGGAGGGTGCAGGGGCTCCCTCCGGGCGCGGCCCTGACGTCGGGGCACACGACACCCCAGACCCCCTGCCTTCCTTCAGCGGAGCCCCTTCCTCTTCCTCGCAGAGTCCCGCTGCGAAGCGCCTCTGCCCTTCCCGCCAGCGCCGCGTTTCCGGATCCCTGTGGCACGAGAGCCGCTGGCGCTTTCTGGGGGACTCGGACAGGACTGGGGGGGCCCCTGGCGCCCGAGCCACGAGCGGTCGGTGTCCTCGAGGAAGGAAAGGTGGATTTCAAAACAAAGCAGAACGGGTGGGGGGCCTTCACGAGTTTCGGGCGGTGGAAGTTGTTGCCGACCTGACGTGGGGCGACCGCGGGGGGGGCTGGGGCTGGGGCGCCCCGGGAAACGCCCCACTGTGCCCCGGGAGCCAGGGCGGCGTGGCTCCGGCTGGGGTTGGGGCGTCTCCAGGGCCGCTGCTGGTTAGAGAGTTGACCTCTCACTGTAAATCGTTGTTGTATATTGCAAAAAGGATGTTCAAATTCTGTCTTTGTGTAGTGAAGCTGAAGCCTTAAATTAAAAGGAATGTGGGTTAAAAAAAATAGACTGGCGTGTTGTTTTTTGAAAAAATAATTCTAATTTCTGCCTTTTCCTCCCTTGTAAAACCAAAATGATGACAAGTCCTCCAGAAATGTTTCTCCTGAGGCTGAGAGCTGTGTGAGCTCAGTGACGAGGGATTTTGATTATTCACACAGGATGTAACAAAGTATTTCTTGGTTTTTTTTTCTTTTTCTGGGAATGTTTCTGCTTGTACTGGATTGTGCGCTTCTTGGTGTGTGAAATGCTCTGGGGAGCAGGGCCAGTGGTTGTGAAGGGTCAGCATGACGCGGCTGTTTCTAGTGATGCGATGAGGTCATCTGGGATTGCGTGGCAGGAGTGCAATCGCTTCAGCTGGGCGAGTTGGCATTCTAGCTCTTCACCACTGGAGGGCGCCCTCGCCTGCTGACCTTGCACGCGCCGTTGGAATGATCCCACAGTGAGTCACCCATTCCTGGAAACGCTGAGCCAGAAGGAGCAAAAATTATAACATTTTTTTAGCTCTGAGAGTGGTAAGCAGAACGAGATGTACAATCCATGTTAATCTAATGGTCTAAGACTCCAGAATATATTTGTGCTTTTAAATAAACCTCTAATTCAGAATTAACTATCCTGAATAAGACAGTAGCTTGTTTTCTTAGCCAGTCTGGCAGGTGACGCTGCCGTCATGGAGAGATGAGCACATGGTCATGGTGCAGTTCCACGCTGTGGCGAGACCTTGGGAAAGGGATAAGACCCGATGCTGTCATGGTCCAGAGGGGCTTGTAGCTGTGTGTGTCAAAGGACTGGCCCCCCTCTGAACTCTGGCCTGCAGTGAGGATATCTCTTTGCTGACTTTCGATCCTGAGAGCTCCAGCCCTCCTCTGAGTCTGTGGAGCCTCCAGTCACCAGCATATTCCATTTCTGGAGTCTGGATTGGGAAGAGAGTTCTCCCTGCATTCAGGACCTCCCCGGTGAACTTTACCCCCTGTTGGAATCAGACCGGCACGTCTGCTTGCGTTTTCCAAAAGAAAAACCCGTTTCCCCCTAGGCAGAGTGAGGCATGTATGGCACTGCGCTGGACCACAAAGGCTTTTGTTTGTTGTGGGAAGTGAGTCAGCTCGGAGTGTGTGGGATCTGTGATTTTGTGTCTGCTGTCGGTGTTAAGAGTGGTTTGTTAAAGTACAGGGCACACTGCACTTGTAGTTTTGCTTTCTTTCATCTGGGCTGAGTGGTGCTTGTGGAATGTAGCAGCCAGTCGTGAAATGTGCTGCCCCCAGCTCATGTAGCGTCTCAGCTCTAGGCCTGCAGTGCTGCTAGAATGCCTTCCTTCTTCTGAGGCATCTGTCATAAAGAGCTATCTGGGGTACCCCCTGGCACAAGTGTAGTAAAGAGGAGGCCTGGGACTGTATCCTGAGTGCGAGGGGAGACTCCAAGCCCGAGGTGTCTGTTCTGGTGTGGTCGCATTGGGACGGATGAGTTTTCCAGAAAAATAGATCCATGTTTCAGATGCGGGGTAATTTATGCTCTGAAACAGCTGCAGGCCAAGGTGACCTGATGTCTTATGTTTTAATTGTGTAAGCCTGTGAAAATAATATCCAAAGGCTTTGGAAAACGTTACGATTCTGCCAGAATCATTCAAGACTTTCGTACTGTATGTGGGGTTATTATCGGGCCGTGAGGAACTTCAACCTTTTTTTCTATTTGCCATTCAGGCAGCAAAGCCTGACGATCCTGAAGGACCAATGAAAAGAACTGGTGTCTTGATTCGGGTAGAAGGCCCTCAGTTTGATCTGCACGTTAAGGTGCGTCTTATAAAAGAGCACAGGGCAGCCCCTTCTGGTGGTTTTATTTGTCAGTTTGTGATTCAATTCTGGTCTCTAGAGATGTTTGGTCGCAGGGTGCTGGCACGCTCAGGGAAAACCATCCCAGTTATCGGAACAGCCGACAGGGAGATGTACTGTTAAAAACCTGACACGTCATTTTCATATTCAAGGTGGTGTGAGGAAGCAATTAAAAGAGTAAACAGTGTTAGGATGTGTAGCCGGAATTGCAAAATTGAAATTAAGGGATGTTAAAATTTGCACTTTGCCCCCATAAGCCGTGATAGAATAGTGGTTTTATTATTGGTTTATAATACACAGCCTGTTGCTGCTCTGGAGTCAGTTCAGTGAAGCCTGACCACATACTGTCCTGCACGGGCAGGCTGGAGGAGCTGAGCTGTTCTAGACTTGCACTGGAGTCTGTGGGGCTGGTATTCCTCACCTTCACTTCACTGCTCACACAGGGAGGTGTGTTTATCTTCAGCCTTCTTACCAATCAATTTGAATCTTAAATAGAAGATTCTCGCAGTAGCCAAGTAAACTTTTAAAACCTCCACATGCTGCTGAGGACTT